GGTCATTCCTGGGCCCCACATAAGCCATGAAAGTAGCTGCCATACACACTTTCCTCTCCCTCCTCTACGCTGTTTTCCCAGCAGGGACTTCTCCTGCTTGCTTGGGAGCAGGGAGAATTGGGCAGGGGATTCAGGGAAATTTTACACGAAGTAGTTAAGTCATACATACACACTATATTTGCATTTAGGCAGATTTTCTCTAGCACCAACTCTGGACTTTAACCATCTTTTATGATGCTATTTCTACTGGAAAGTTCGTTTGCTAATTCAAACATTAATCATATTAATTTGTGGGTTGGGCATTGTGTCAGGCTGTGGGCATATACTGGTGGGTTAGACAGCGTATGCCCAGTGCCTGTTCTCTTGGGATTTATCAATAGGGAAACCAAGATCAAACAAATACTGTCAGCAATGATAGGAAGTGCCACAAAGGAAAAACACAAAGGGTTGTATAACAGGTGGACCTGATTTAATGTGGGGACAGGCAAGTCTGAGCAGAGACCTGGAGGAAGAAGGCAGAGGTAGGGAAGAAAGGCATGCAAAGCAGGTAGAAGACTTGAAATAGGTGTGAGCAACACTGCATGCAATATCCTCCATTGGTGCCATTAATCTTTTCATTAGCTCAGCTATTTCAGGAAAATTGATGTGGGAGGTCTAGTTCTAAATTTGTAGACAAACTGGGTTGGTAGCAGTTAAATTAGAAGCTCTTAAAACTTAAAATCAGGGAAACAGCTTTGGTCTTGAAAAGCTCCCGAAGGCCACTGTTTAGGAAGTCCGTGAAGGTGGGGCTGTCTGATTCATTGTGTGTGTCACCCTCATATTCCCATAATTAGTAGCACGAGTTATATACAGAGAAGTTATCTAGAGGCAAGTTAAACACTGATGATTTCCATAACTATGTGTTGACTATAAAGGTTGCTGATGCCACAGAGAAAAATGAATTTGTGATTGTGGCAGCCTAATCTCCAAGACAGCCACCACATTGATTTCTTTCCTCCTTATCTGCCCAAGTTGATCCTCCACTGGGAGATGGAGTCTTCCTCCACCCAGTAACCCTTGAACCTGGGCTTGGCCTACATGACTCATTGACCAGTGGGATGCAGTGGAAATGCTTGGGATTTCTAAGGCTGGGCCCTAAGAGGCCTTGCAGCACCACCTGGGCTCTTGGAGTGCTCACTGTGAGGCAATTTTGCCTACTCTGAGACACTCACATGTGGACAGGGTGATGCTGGCCAGTCCCGGCTGTTTTGGCCAGCCCAGCCCAGGCACCAGGCATGTGAGTGAGGGAGCCATCTTGGATGCCCTGGTCCTGGCAGATGTCAAATGGAAAAAGACTGAGGTCCTAGCCACATGGCTCCTCAAGCCATTCGAGCCACTCCTTCTCACCCTGGAGTTTTGGCTCGGAGATGAGAACCCCAGTGTGTTCTAGATTTGTTTTTTAAGTCTTTATAATTGCAAAGCAGCAGATGTCTGCAAACACTGATTTAGGAGCACATGTTAAAAGTAGAACAGCATATTAGCATGGACAAGGTTGACAGGTAAATGGAAGAAATGTTGCACATTTTGTTACTCTTTCCTGTTCCATCATGGGACTGTATTTACACCTCCATTATAAACCTGACCATGTTGCATTAAGGAGGCAGCATAGCATAATAATTAAGAACTTGGGTTTTATAGTCAAGAGAATTCTTTATTTGAATTCAAGCTTTCAACATTAGCTGAATGACCTTGAGCAAGTTGCTTGGCCTCTCAAAGCTGTTTCCTCATCTGTCAAATGGGAATGACATGAACAGTATTGACATTGTGGAGTATTCAAGATTAAATTCAATAATGCATGTAAAGCACTTAGTGCCTGTCATATATTGTGTTCCACCAATCAATGGTGAAGATGACCCCCAGAGGACAACAGCCTCTTTAAATTCATTCTTTCATTCATTCTCACCTTTAAATTCATTTTACGCTTCAGTGTCTGGAACACAGTAGGTGATTAATAAAGACTATTGAATGAATGACAAAATGAAACCTTATGTTATAAATTTTAAGGTTGACCTTTTTGACATAAAAGGCAACTTTGCCTGTAAATTATTTGGAGCCAACCATTTTAGGACAGCGGAAGGTGTCATTTCCACCATGACCTTAGAAGAGTCTGGAACCAGTGAGAAAAGTCTATTCAATTTCTTTTAGCAATTAAGATCTCCAATGGCTGGATAGGACCTTAACCACCATCCACTGCAACCAGCCATGAAGCCTGTGAGAACCATGTAAAGTGAGTGGTTCATCCAAGGCCATCTACCCACTGTGAGGACCAGAACCCAGTCTAGAACTGCCTCCCGCCTCCCGCTTTCTATAGCATATTTTTCTTCTTCCTTTGCATTTTAGGGTCATTCAGTGGGGTTAGGACTAATCACTAATCTCTGTTAGTAAAGGTTCAGGCAACTCAGGAAGGGCAAGGGCATACAGGTTGAGAATGCAAGACCCAACTGTAGCCAAAGGTGCTTGTGTCTAGACCTCACCTCTCCCCATGCCTCTCCCCTGTGTGTCATAATTACTCTTGTGCTGGAAATGGTGACTCACAATTAAAAAGCCCCTTTACATACAGGTAAGAGGTCTAATGGGATGCAATTTAGTTTCTCCGTAGTTAAGGGCGGGCTTTCATCCTTATTCGTAGGTCTTTCCTCTCTTTCACTGCTCTAAGGTATGAAAGTCCTGTCCCTAACTGCGCTGTGTGCAGTGAGACTTAATTATTGACTCTTTTTTGGTTTTGCTAACCCGAGTACACAAAACATCCATTTAGTTATGAGGTTTCGATTACTTTAAGTCTCAAATGAGTAATGAAATACAGATACCAATTAAATAAACTTATGGCTTCAATTACCTTTTTTCTTGCTTTTGAAATAATAAAGGCTGCTGTTTACAGCTCCAGTGTGGACACTTCCACTTGCAGCACATACTTCAGCTGGAGTCCAAATAGGGCTGTAGGGAAAATATTGTGCTGTTCTCACCTCTCTCTGTCCTGGAAGTAAATTTCCATCTACTGAAAGATGTAAGATGCTACCAGCCAAAGAGTACTGTCTAAATAGTATGTAAAAGAAAATAATGTACATGGGCAGGTTGGGAAAATTCAAGTAAATTCTTTACTAGCACATAAGGAAAACAAAATCAGCTGGAAGGTTCTATTTCCCACCACCATGCGCGCGCACACGGATTAGTCTCTATTCATTCCAGAAGATTGTATTTCGAAAAAAGAGTTCAATTAATCAAATTCTCCTAAGAAAAGTACACAGTGGACAAGGCCATGGGGGAAGAGAGTGGGGAAACCCACTTGGGCAAACTCTGAAACCCACATGTGTGCTTTCACATCTTGAAATAAATCTGTTTCCGAGAATGGAGGTTTCTGTTGTTCATATTTAAATCTTGCATCATGTAAAACTCAATGACATCTTCATTTTCAAAGTCAGAATCCTTACTTAGGATACCTGAATCTCATATATATTACTTGCAAGACTATGAGAAATTTTTTTCAATTCTGAGAGGCTAATTAACAAAGTTCCACTGGGAGGTAGAGAAAAGGCAAAGGGAAACTGGATTGAGCAAGAACAAAAATATTTATATGAAATGTTCCAAAGTCAGTTAACTAACCACATTCTACTCAACTTACACGAGAAAAAATTGTGGGGATTTTAGAAATGTCATTTAAGACACAATTAAGCATCACCACTAGGTCATGTTTAGGGGAAACTGAGATTAAAAAAAAAAGTGGCCTCTAGGAAAATCAGAGTTTTGCTCAAAATGTAGTACTAATGATAATCTACTATGTTGGTAGCATTTTCAGGATCTAATTATAAGCTTCAATCTGATGGTTTTCTACGTAGTGGCAGAAGTGATAAGAGAAGAAATATACAAGGCCCATGACACATTAGGACCTCCTTTTGAACTGGTAGATTCTAAAGTTCATTTTATTTATTCATAGAAAATAGTCAAAGAATAAAAATCTTTCTTGTTTCTTTCTTCTCCATAGTTTCTACCATGGAAATTACTTGTAATTTTTTACTTGCACATAATTCACGTATATGCTGTTACTTAGCATAAGCAAATATCAAAGCTGGTCTAACCAATCTACATTAGTATCATAATGGAAGTAAGGAAAGAGGTTATATCTTATCAAGTTGCATCCATTGAAGATCGAGGGCTCATTCTAATGACTTGGCAGGGAGGCTAAGTGGCCAACAGGCATCACACCCAGCTCTAGGGTGAAGGGTCAACCTGCTGGTATGAAGGCTCTGACATCTGACTGCCCCTCAACTTTTATTTTAGGTAAGTCAAGGTCATCTAGGGTGGCAGATTGTGCTCCCACAAGTAAAATTTGAGATCCAGTGTCCCTCTTGCCGGTTTGCATCATGCAGGCTTTTAATCCAAAGATCTGAAGCTTCTAAGGCAGAACATTTTACCTCAATCTCTTTTCTGAGTTGCCTGCTAGGAAGGTGATGGCCATATTTGTAGCCCACTTCAAACTTGCATTTTGTGTACAGAGTTCCCTCCTGGTTTTATATTTTTTTTTCATTTCCCCCTTACTCAGATCTTATTTATTCTAAATAAATCTTATAATATTGTATTGTATGCATCTCTGCAAGCCCTCTTAAAAACTTCCTGGGAGAAGGCAATGCATAAGTAAATTTTAGACAAATTATACAATAATCAGGCTAATTTTGAGTGAATCTTGCTTACTATATATATCACAGGTTGATTCAAGTCAAAGATATCAGAGATTTATAAGATGGTAACATTTCTTAGCAAATTCATATTCTCCCTAAGGCAATATTCGACTTATAGGAATCTGAATTTCAGTAGTTAAAAATGAAAGATGGATTCAAATTGCCCCAAAAGTATGTTTCTAGAACCTCCTTAATTTCCAAAGAGTTTCAGTTAAAAAAATCAAATCATTCAGGTTGAAAAAAGGAGGCTGATTGGGAAGGTGCTTGGTCACAGCACATTACAGCATATAGGATAACCAGAGGTGGAATCTTTATTTCACAAGTTTCAAGATACAGTACAAAACGAATCTGTACATCTCTCTATTAACAGGATTTGTTTACACAATTATATTACACTTCACCAGCCTTTATACTGCATTTCATTAAATACAAAATAAATTTACAAAAAAAGTCTACCACGGTGTTCCTTCACAATGCCAGGTTATGTCTTTTAAAACTTCCTCTCCTAAATATTCATAGTGGTTACACCTTGATCATATCAACATTATAAGTTTTATGAGTTTTTTTTTTTTAAATCAAAGAGAATAGTGTCAGCCTTTGTCTGTCAAACCAAATAGGAAAAACAGCTCATGTGAGATGGCTCCATGTACATAACCAAGCCATCCTTCTCATGCACAGAAATCAGATTTTTTTCTTGTGCAAATAGTCACTTTAAAATATAAATCATTTTCTACTTGTGATCATTTAAAATTTTCTTGATATACCAAATAGATGGAGAAATTTAGCTTCTTTTCAACGAATACTACACATTTAAAAACCAGGTAGTGCCTCAGACAATGTAGCATTCAGAAATTGTATATTTTCACGTTTGAGAGCGATGACTGATGAAAAATATTTGCATGAAAATAGAAGTTTTCTTTTTCTCTAATTTTTTCATGCATACCTCTTTGTCATAATATTATGTAATATGTATTATAGTCACTTTCAAAATAAATATCAGCTGTCACTGGAGCAAATATAGCCCTTCTCTTCTTGGCAGGTAAAGGGACGGTTTACCTGAAGCATCTTGTTTTGAAATGTGCATGTGAATGCTAGTCCAGACCTCTGTAAAGGAAGTTTTTGCATATGTAGTTAGACATTGAGACACATGCTACACACATGAAGAATTGTATTAACAGTTTTCATTTACAGGCCTGCATGCATGCTTCCAAAACACTGGTTTGAAGAACAAACATGAGGAGGAAGGAAGGGAAGGAAAAACAAAGCAAAAGCAAAAAAATTCCTATATATAAAATATTTAAGTTTCCTCGAGGCATCAGCAGCTCCTTAATTGAATAAATCATCAGATCATCACCAGGTCACTGGTGTAATTTTCCAAAAGTTGCCAATGGTACAGAGATAAAACAGCTTAGTGGTAAAACTCTCAGAAATTAACCTTACATGCAGAAAAGTAATAAATCCTCAAGAGTATCAAGATTAATGATTCATAAATTAAACTGATTTAATTGCTAAATAATGAAGTCTGAAAAAAGCCTTTAATTTACTTTTTCTGTGCCATTGACTATTAATCAAACTAAGATAAGCCTCACCTAGAAAACAGAAACAAAAACTTCAAACACAAAAAGAAAAAAAACCCCATCAATGCTACCTTGATAAAATAAAATAGAAGCAAAATGGATAGTTTCAAGAGAGTTGGCTAACCAACAAACCAAACCAAGAGAACATAAGCTAAATAGAGAACTACTGTCATCAACTTCAAAGGCAGGAAGACACACTATAAAAGGTATGAGGAGAGATGGGCTACCATGGAGAAATGAAGCCACACTCTGTTAACTGTAAATTCTAACATTAAAACTCCTGAATCCTGGAGTCAGTTTAATGTCACTGACATTAACTAGCTTTAGTTATTGTCATTTTATTCAAATGGATGCCATTTGATTAGGTAAGTACTGAGCATTATTTTAGGAGAAAAACCAAACCCACCAATTCCTATTTGCTTAGGTACCACGTCCCCTGAACAAAAATGAAAAAGGAAGCAAAGTATTTTGAGACAGTTTTTAAATAAAGCCATAAGAACTAAGAAATTTTAAAGATACCATTCAAATTTCTGGTAGCAAATGACCCAGGGTAAAACAGGAAGTGGAAACGAACCAAGAAAATGATATTTGGAATGTTAATTTAAAAAGGCAAGTGTAAACTAATAGCAAGTTTGTTATTACATGAAGAACAAGACTACACTTTCCCATCTGGCCTAGGTAGTACACACTGTTTTAAGAAATGTTTTCTCAAAGTACTAATGGAAGGAAGTAAATGAAGATAGAGATACAAATGCTAAAGGAGAAATTAGATGGCTGGCAGAAGAAAAAAATGGAAGTTGACAGTCACCTTAGAGGGGTTTTACAACTTTTAAATAAATTAAAACAGTTCCTTCTAAATGGAACATGGCAGCTACCATGGATTACCCATATTTGATGGGGGGGAAGAAGGCAGTGAAGACAGCAACATACTGACCAACTGCACTCAAATCTCCATGTGTAAGAGACCAGAACAATTCATAATATTTACAAGAGCTGCCTAAAGCGACATTACACTGCTGAGGGTAAAATTTCCTACCTTTCACAGACATGCTTTTATACATATGGTTCTCTCTGTGACCATCTGTTCAAATTCAGAAGCAATTATCTGGGAGGAAAGTTTGCTTACCAGATTTCCCATAATACTCTAAACACAATGTATACAACTTCACATTTAAAGCCTTCATGTTCATTACAGACCAATTAAATCTAGTTCTAAATACAATCCCAACTTCAAAAGACAAAGCACTATAACTCTGTAAGTAATAAACTCTTCAAGTTTTCCAGCAGATGAGGGATTATGGGAAAAAGTATAAAGGTTAGTATCAATAGACTGATGCTAACAGGCATCAAAGCCTGCTCAGATATGAATGCAGTCTCAGACTAGATACAGGCTGGTGAATGCTACCATGTGACAATAAAATGAAACACAAATTCAATTTAAGCTTTGTTTCATTTGTGTGATTATGTGAAGTTCTCAGTTTTCTTTGTTGTTTTTTTTCCCATGCTATTTAACCAGCAAATTCTGAAGTGTAGTAGCCTTGATTTTCCTGATGTTAACAGTGAGAGGATGGTGAATAAGATAGCTAAGGAGGAGGCTGACTTTCTACTGTAATATAAAACTATAAGAAATAAAAAGGTACCTAAACAGTATAGAACAGTACAAACAGACTTTGGCTTTCATCAACCACTGAGTTTAATCCATCTCTGATTCTCTGTCTGAGTTCTAGTACGATAATGGTAGTCACTGTATGCAATATCCTGGCAATTACATTTCATATTTAAAGAATTCAGGAGGGTGATCTGTTCTTTGTTCAATAAGAAATGCAAAGTAAAATAAATTCTGGGAACAAATGCTTCAACTTTTGGGAAAGTGTGTCTATGATCCTAGTACCCCATCCAGAGTTGTTTAATATTGTTTTCTAATTTCTCCCATTTAGTCCATCCTCTGGCTTCCGGATCAAGGCTCTGTATATTCAAAACAAACAAGAAAATTACACCGAGTAGGTGGTAGGTAGGGCAAATTCACGTTAGTGCAAGGACTCAGTTCACTAAGTTTTACATACATATTCCATTCCAAAAAAAGTGAAGTTCACAAAAAACTCTTAAACAAGTCCTTTCAGTCTTTGAAGAAAGAAGTATAATGTGTGACAATCACCATTAAGAAGAAACCTGCCAACCTTTCTTTTAAAATAACAAATATGCTTAATGTGTATACTTGTAGGTGGACTGATAAGCTTCTCAGTTATCGCAGTTCCAAGACATTTTTTTTTTTACTTAAAAGGCAAGTTCTATTCTCTGGCTTTCAAACATGTTTAAGGTTAAACTTGCAACTAACCAGGTTTTCCTTTTTATATTGATCAGTTTTTAGTGTTGATGCACAAAACCTTAAAGATGGCTGATATAAGAACTTACGCACACTGAAAGAATGACCGAAAGGATCCAAGAAAGATAGCTGGATACAGTAGACATTACTGGATAGAAGATAGCTGGATACAGTAGACTTTTGAGTGTCTCACATATGTTTCCAGGAAAGAAAAAAAAGGAAAGCCACTGAGAGTTGTTATTCCATATGGCACTGAAACAAACATTCAACTTAGTTCAGGTAAGAGTTACTTATCCCTGAAAATAAAGGCATCAGATTCTAAGCAGCTTTAGGAATTCAATGCTTCTTTGTGCCTCTTCCAGGAGGTGACCACTGATCCAAAGTCCTAAATCAAATGCAAGTGTTCTCAGCAAACAACTTCCTTAGTTGTCACTGATCAAGGGTGGACATGGCGGATGCTACTGTGGTGGCTGCTGCTCCGGGGGCCCTTCCTGCTGGGGTGGAGCTGGCCGTGGCCCTGGAGGCCTGGGCGCAGGCATGTCCTGGTGCTGCCTCTGCCTGTAAGCTATCACTGTTCCCAGCAGCAGCGCAATGATGGTCATGAGGTAAAGATCCCACTCAGGTCCCAGAAGCTGGTCCATGTCAAGTTGGGTGAACATATCTCGAATCTTAATGAAAATAACATAATAAAAATCATTATTGCCACTGAAATGTCAGGGAAGGAACTGGGAAAGTTATATCACAAATTAGAAATAAGTACAGAATCTAAAAATAATTGGTTTGAGGAACATTTTGCAATGTGTATTTAAAAAGAGGGTTTTAAAGCCTTCAACTGAAGCTCAAAATAATGTGTCTCAGGCACCAAGCTATTCATTTATAACAGGTGACTATACAAAATGTCTAACAGGGTTTTTTCCATCAGTAATCTAATGCACTAATTTTCAACCATTTTTCATAGAAAATATTTGAAAGGAACCCTGGGACAATGGAGAGCCAAGGAGGGGAAATTAGTATTGTGGCCCACCTGTTCCCTATTTGTAGTACTGGCACATCAACTGAAAAGCTCTCTTCTACAACAGTGGGGCTAGTCTACTATTCTCTTGTAGTTGAAGACTGAAGAAATTCATACATTTAATAGTTGAATGAATAATGCTTTTTAGTTAGGATTTAACTAAGATGCAAAATATTCAACATCTGAATTTGAACTTGAAAGTTATGTTCTTAGCCTATGACATTTTTTCATTGTTGTAATGTCACTTAAGAAAAGTTATTCCTGATATTTTCTGCCATTTACCCATAAAGGAAGTAAATATGGGGTATAATCCTTTATTTAAATAAAATTATGTTTAAAAGGTCTCCATAATGCATATTTGTAGGTATAGGTGTTAAATTGGTCTGGGGAAAAATAAGAAAATACTAACTGTGTTCCCTGGAAAGGAACCTGGGATGGGAACTTTTGTGTTTTACTTTCTTACCATCAATACTTATTACTCTTGTACTTTTTTTTAAGTTGGAATATTTAGCTGATAGGATTATGGGACATTTTATTGTCTTCTTTATAATTCTATATTAAAAAAAAACCAGCAAAGATATAATATACTCAGTACAGTGTATTGCAAGATGAAATCTTAGACTGTAATCACAGTTTATTCGTTTTAAAAATTGTGGGAGACAAGAGTCTGAAACAGTCCTAAGAGAGAAACAGCAGGCTGCCACACTATCAGCTTTCTAATCAAAGGAACAAAGATAGTTTCAATCAGCATAGGGTACAGCATACTCTGGCTCATGCTACCAAGCAATTATAGCAATTGATATCACATGTGTTTCTCAGCAACTAGAAGACAGAGTCCCACACGTCCAGGGGTCTGGCGCCCTGTCTATGGAGACACCGCAGTGGCATGGGCTAGGGTGGCAAAAGGGAGAGGTCTATTTCTCAGTGTTATGCTGGAGCTGTGTTGACTACATTTGTATCTGTGCAATATATGAGGGAAAGCCTGTTCTAGAATCTAAGGCTGAAATGACATACTAACCTGTTCTGAAAGACATTACAAAAGGGTGAAATATCATCCTTTTCTAGTCCTAAATAAACTAAAGTTAAATAGCCGTTGTGGCTAACAAGCACTCTGAATATTTTAGAGCTTTCAGAGTTATATGCTGCACCAGTTCATCCATTACTAGAACTATAGGTATTGGAAACAAAATTTAAAACTGGCTGGCTGCGCGCGGTGGCTCACGCCTGTAATCCTAGCACTCTGGGAGGCCGAGGCGGGAGGATTGCTCAAGGTCAAGAGTTTGAAACCAGCCTGAGAAGAGCAAGACCCCGTCTCTACTAAAAATAGAAAGAAATTAATTGGCCAACTAAAAATATATAGAAAATATTAGGCAAGCATGGTGACGCATGCCTGTAGTCCCAGCTACTTGGAAGGCTGAGGTAGAAGGATTGCTTGAGCCCAAGAGTTTGAGGTTGCAGTGAGCTAGGCTGAGGCCACGGCACTCTAGCCTGGGCAACAGAGTGAGACTGTCTCAAAAATAAATAAATAATAAAAATGGCAGAACCCCAAAGCACCAACATATAAGTATTGTTAACTAAAGCTGGTAGTTTTGAAGAGAATGGGTAACTCACCTCCTATCTAGGTCTATCATTAGCCTATTTAAATATTTCAAGCTATTTTTAGACAAGAAAATTCTTGTGGCATTTTTAACTTATGTTTCACTATCAGAAGAAACCGAAGTACAACACTCTAGATAGTTTCTTATGTTCATTGTCTTTCTTCCTTTTTGTTTGAGACAGAGTCTCACTCTGTTGCCCAGGCTACAGTGCCGTGGCATCAGCCTAGCTCATAGCAACCTCAAACTCCTGGGCTCAAGCAATCCTTCTGCCTCAGCCTCCCAAGTAGCTGGGACTACAGGCATGCACCACCATGCCTGGATAAATTTTTCTATATAGTTTTAGTTGGCTAATTAATTTCTTTCTATTTTCAGTAGAGACGGGGATCTCAATCTTGCTCAGGCTGGTTTCAAACTCCTGACCTTGAGCAATCCTCCTGCCTTGGCCTCCCAGAGTGCTAGGATTACAGGCGTGAGCCACCGTACCCAGCCTTTCTTTTTCTTTTTAAGGGGCTGGTTTGAATCACTGCTAGGCAGTCATCTGATTTAATGTTTACTGAATTTAGTTAATTACCCTTTCAAACTGCTTTGAGTAAGTCTCAGTTTTCACTAAACCAGAAAACATACTCATCAGTGAAAATGCATTAGCAGTAGGAACCATTGAGTGCTACCTAAAAACTGCATTAACTACTCTGTGTCTACATTCATCCCTCACCTGATGTCATCCTTTGGTACTTCACCTGGGGGGAAGAAGGGAAGACAACTGACATTTGCAGCACACTCTGCCATACACATCCCCAACTTTTTAAATAAAAACTTCCAGGACAGAGAAGATTATAGCATCTGTTTCTTAATTAAGGAAGCATGCCCACTTACATTTGTTTCCCGTATGTACTGTAAGAAATAGACAACGCCCAATTTGCAGAGTGCTAGGAAGACTGGTACTTGTGCATCTGGGCTGGCTTCGGCTGCCATGTCATAAAAACGTTTTGCAAGGTGAATATCCTATAATATAGGTAATAAACAAAAATTTATGTCTTGTCAAAATAAGTAAAAATATTTAGTTTGCATATTGGGAAATTTTATTTTACCTTTCAAGTTTTCATTTTAAAATGAATTTCCTTCACTTAAAGAAAAAAACCAAGCTTTACTTGGGTAAAATTTATTTAATTATCTAACTGCTTAATTTTGAAAAATTTAATTTAAAAACTTGACTCATTTTCCCCCAAAATATCCCATTAGCTATGTAGAAATGCTGTGTATAGCCATATATCTATGCTTTAACACTGTTAACCTAGAGATTTCCAAGGGCGACCTTTTTAAGTCTCAAGCTAATTTTTTGCTACTTAAAACTTCAGTGAGTATAAGCAACCTGTAGTTTCAGTTTGGAGCAGTGATCTTCAAAGTGGGGTAGACACACTCAATATTTTACAAGAGGTTCTACCATGGACAGTGTTAATGGGCTCTATCTTGGAGTTCCTCAAACTTTCATACATGCTTTTTCCTGAAAGGGACCTGCCTGAGAACAGGCCCGTGTGCACAGCAACTTTTCTCCACTTTATAAAAGAAAAGCACACCCCTCACCTACCCCACCCCACCCCTTCCTCAGGAGCAATGCCTTGGGGTGTAAAAACCTCAGGGGCCACCACAGAGAGATACCCTGAAGTGCTGGCTTTGGAGAAGGCTCCTTTATTGACTAATTATAAACCCATATTAGGGCATCTGGTGTTTCCCTGTGTTAGATGTATTTCTGTAAAGGGTAAAACAAGTCATTATTAATTTTGGCACAGGATACAGTGTTCTAAATTCAGCTATGTGGTAGATTGGATGGTGGGAGTTGTGACAACTTACACCTGAAAACCTTACTTCTTCCACGCCCTGATGACTGTCAAAGAAAACTCAATTCTTGAATTCCACGAGACATGAGAAAGAAAGGCTAAACACTAAAAATGACTTTTTCCACACATATTTAAATATAAGTAACTTTCAGCTATTCCTAATTCTTATCCTTAGAGTGTGCAGTTAAAAACAAGAGCAGCTTCAAATAATGGTAACATTATGGTTAGTGTCTCTGATTTTTTTAAAAAAAATTTAACTCAAATGGTTTTTTTGGATTGCCATATTTTTCAAGATCATGGATCAAACTTTATGTGATCCGTAAAGACTCTGTGGATTATTCATCAGTATGATTAAATAGATTCAACAGGGTAATAAGACTTATCAAATAATATCATGAATTATTTTTTTCAATTATAGCCAATCCTCATAGTATTTCATATTTAACACTTTCCTAACTATACTACATGCTGGATTGATTAGCTTTCAGTGGTATGAATGTCTCTTTCATTTAAAAAATAAGAAAAAATAAGAAAAGGTGATCATGATGTCTTATAAAAACTAATGGAGTTATTCTCATTTTTATACATGATTATTCAATTATTCTCAAAAGCTGAAAACAAATTCCCTTCTCCCAACTCTTATCAAAATAATTGCCTTTTATCATACTTCATATTAATAAGAATTTATATTAGATATATCTTATATTATATTAAAATTAAGTTATCAGAAGCACATTAATTTTCCTATTTTATAACCTATTCTAAAAACAGATTATTAGATTGCCATTTTAACTTTGACTACTTTCAATAAATTATTACTAGATGTATCCCATAAATGCCATAACTTATATGTGATTTTTATATTAGTCACCAAACACATAGTAAACTTTATTATTTATTCAAAATGTTATTTGAATTAAGCCTTTCTGATGGAAGCTAAGTCTGACTTGGCTGATTGGCTTGACAGTCAAGAGAGACTCCAATGACTGTGTTACAGGCAGAGATCTTCAGAAGTCAAACACACTGAGCTTGCAGTTAAGAGTCTTGCCAAAACTATACTTAAGTATCTAATATTAATAATTAATATTTTAAATATTAAGGTAAACTTAAAATACAAAAATTTACATATTGAAATTAAAATATCTAAATGTGAAGAAGCTGCATTTTGTCAAAAAATAGTGTGTCAGCAAAATGAAATTAACAACTTTCCCTCAATACTTAAAGACATGAGGTCAACAAAACACCTCTAAATGACAGAATGAGGAGTATAATTAATGGTCATTTCATAAGTCTTTAAAGCCTTTTCAGTAGTCTTTCCAGAAACCGAGAAAGCGAAAGGCTTCAATATCAGGGAACACATCCTTTTACAAGGTTTCCAATTCTTTGCTTTTAACATAACCAAAGGGGGATCTATCAGGTTGTCAGCAGATAGATCATTAAAACTAATTCCTAAAGACAAATCATTCTGATTTTTGGCATATAACTCTAAAACAGTTTAAATAATTAAGTGACCCTGCTGCTATAATAAAACTTCATATTTCTGTATACTTACATATGTGAACAAGGTTCTAGATATACATTTATAAAAATTAAAAAAAACAGCATTAATGCTAAACCCAATGATAAACTAATTTTTAAAAAAACGCTCCGTTCATAAATAAGCACCACATGTACTTACCATCAAATTGGTTTTAACTGATCAACACCTAAGTGTGCACATATAGGAATAACATTCATCAGGCGTCAGGCAGATGGGGGGTAGGAGGGGATGGGTATATACATACATAATGAGTGCAATGCGCACCGTCTGGGGCATGGATATGCTTGAAGCTCGGATTGAGGGAGGGGGTGGGGTGGGGAGATAAGGGCAATATATGTAACCTAAACATTTGTAGCCCCATAATATGCTGAAATAAAAAAAATGCTCCATTCATCTTATTAAAGATGTCTTTTCAATAACATAAAAGTAAAATTTTATCAAAATTTATATCATTTTGCTGATTTGATCAACAATGTATTAATAATTGACCAACTCTGACTAACAATATCTCATGAATTTTTCTTTCCTTTCTGTTTATATTTTATTTTTTTATTAATTTTATATTTTTCAATTTTGTATTTTATTTTTCTTTTTTCATACGGAAAGTTTAGATGCCCTGTTGATTTCTTTTTTTTTAGATATAAGCTCTCACTTTGTCACCCAGGCTGGGGTGCAGTGGCACAATCACAGCTTATTGCAGGCTCAAACTTCTGGGCTTAAGCTATCCTCCCACCTCAGCCTCCTGAGTAGCTGGGACTACATGTATGTACCACCACGCTCAGGTAATTTTTTTTCATAGAGATGGAGTTTTGCTATGTTACCCAGGCTGGTCTTGAGCTCCTGGGCTCAAGCACCCCACCTTGGTCTTCCAAAGTGTTGAGATTACAAGCATGAGCCATAGCACCCAGTTGCAAAATGAATTTATATACTTGTTTTTTTCAGATTAAGTATGATAGAGTGATTAGTAAAAGACCTAAGCATTAAAAACATTATTATATAATTCTATGGAAGTAGTAGCTGAAAATATAAATTTAGGGAGACAAGGAAAAGATATAATTTTCAATTAAAGAACTTCCTTATATATTGAAAAAATGAATAATGGGTATCAAATTATTTTGTTATTTAGATTCTATTGGATATTTTAAGAATAATTTAATAATTTTATTTTAAAATGTTAATACTTTAATTAGCTGGAATTCAGACCCTATGAACTTAAGAAAAATCTTGAATGTCAACTTAAAAATGCACAAAGGGGTACATAGCTTTTCAAAATTCTATTGAGGGTACATAAGCAAAACTTTAAGACCATGGCATGAGTCTAGAGAATGTTAGACTTCATCAGGAAGGTGTATGAATCAGAAATAACTTTATCAGTAGAAAATATTTCATTTCAAAATAATTTAGAAATAGAATTTGGCTGAAGATGGACAGCTAGTTTCTCAAACAAATATTAATAGTTATCAATACAGGCAGCACTGCATTTCCATTTTCATGGATCTGTCTTTAGTTTAATATCCTAAATATAAGAGCATAGATATTAATATGTGTGTGTGGTGGAAGATGAGAGAGATGGAACGCCAATCTTCTGAAATATTACAAATCACTCTCATAATTTAGTGGCCTAAAATATGACCGAATTTGACAGTAAGTCTGTTTTCTATACACATGCAGATGTTTCCCCCAATCACAATTATATTAGTCAAACATTTGTTTCGAAGCCACACTCACCTGTTTAATGCCCAGTCCTTTCTCATGCATATATCCCAGATTAAACATAGCTTGTGCACTGTGCTGTTGCTCAGATGCCAGACGATAATGAATAAATGCAGTCTCATAATCTACATCAGTGCCAAATCCATAGAAATGGTAGTCTCCAAGCTTAATTCTAGCCACAGTGTAGCCTTAAACAAAAGTTAAATGCAAAAATGCCAATAAATAAAGTATGTTTAAGAAAAGATAAAACTATTATTTCCCCTCCTGTTAACATGCATATATAAAACAAAGAATTTTAACTTGTAGTATACAAACTTTGTAGGAAATCCCTTAGCCAAACTATACAGTCAGTAAAAATATAAACTATAAGTGTAGCTCTTCTGCAGGAGGGTTTGTAATAGTCAGGGAGAGGTAAAACTAGGTGGATAGTACAGGTCACACATCCATAATCCAAAAATTTGAAATCCCAAATCCTCCAAAATCTGAAACTTGACACTTAAAGGTCAAACGCAAAGGAAATGCTCATTGGAGCATTTTGGACTTTAGATTTTTGGATTAAGAATGCTCAACCATTATTTACATGCAAATATTCCAAATCTGAAAGAATCTGCAATCCAAAACACTTCTAGTCCCAAGCATTTCAGATAGGGGATAATCAACCTGTATTCCCTCTTTCACTAAGTCTCCTCTTCAAATGATTATGCTCTACTTTATCATGCCATTTATATTTTTAAATAGTTCAGCTTGACCATTGTTTAGGCTTGGAGAAGGGATAAACAATGTTGAGAGTAGTATGCTTGAAAAAGAAATACTCAAAAGGAGTGGGGAAGGATTAGTTTTTTGGATTTTAGGCCAATATTTTATTCTATATTCTATTTCATTCCAATTTTAGACAATATACTAGTTTCAAACTAGAAACCCCCAAAGAGTGAATCATAGCATGATGGAAATGTCTAGTACAATGACTCTGTAACCCAATTTAGAAAGGTGGGCACTAGGACTTCCATTTTAAGAATAAATGCCAATAATATACAAAGAAGTTAAGCAATAGTTAGTATTTCTGCTTAATTTTAAGGTGATGAATGGCATGATTTAACGGTCATGAGAGATAAACAATATAAAGAGGTCCCTGGGTGAAACTCTTATCCTAGAATTAACCACTCACCTTGAGAGGCCGCCCTGTTCCAATGCAGCAAAGCTCTGGGATAAGTTTCATTTTCACCTACAATGGTTGCTTCTCCTATGGGAAAATAAATGAAATACAAATCAGGCATTTAGGGAAAGGCACTAGACTTTCAGGCTTTATTTGCAAACTAGGGAGGATATGTTGCACATAAGTTAAACAAGAATTAGAATATAATAGTATTAAACAAGTCTGAAATAAAATACTGAGTTCAAGGGAATCACTGGATTCGGGAGGGTACTACTTTGTGAAACATGTTTTATCTGTAAAACTAATAAAGAGACTGATTACTGAGCCACTTCTAGGAATCTACAGTGTTGGGAAAATGGGGTTTTGGTATCCATTGTATTTTGAAAAATATATTTATTGAAAGCACTTAACTTAAAATTAATGTCATATACATTTCTACTGTCAACTCCAGTTATAAAACTAACTTTCATGACTATGTAACAAGCATGTGTGTTGTTAAGTTCCATTTACAACAATAAAGAATGTTTCTTTGTGGCTTTTCTTTTTAAACAGGTTAACGTGATGCGAGCTCTTGTATTCTGAACCTACGGCAGGAACTAAAATGAACTTTACTCTGATCAAGAATGAAGGCTGCATTGCTTTGTGCCACTTCATAGCCTTGTTCGGCCAGTAGGAGGTACTGGATCACTGCAGCATTGTAATCGCCGTCTTTATAGCTGTTATAGGCAGTCATAAGCCTCTCAGACCAACGGCCTCTTTCACATACATTCTTAAACAACTGTGAGAAGAGGAAAGAAAAAAAATCAATACAAAAAATAAGAACGATATGCCAGAAAGTCACTTTTGCACTTTGGCTACAAGTGACTTCAGTTCTTTAAATCTCCAGCAGCTTTATTAGTACATAAAGGTTTGGGAATTTATTTGAAGCTTTCATTTACTTTTTGGAAGTCGATAAGGTTTTGTTTTTTTTTTTTGAGACAGAGTCTCACTTTGTTGTCCAGGCTAGAGGGAGCGCTGTGGCGTCAGCCTAGCTCACAGCAACCTAAAACTCCTGGGCTCAAGCAATCCTACTGCCTCAGCCTCCTGAGTAGCCAGGACTACAGGCATGCGCCACCATGCCCGGCTAATTTTTTCTCTCTATATATTAGTTGGCCAATTAATTTCTTTCTATTTATAGTAGAGACGGGGGTCTCGTTCTTGCTCAGAGCTGGTTTCGAACTCCTGACCTCGAGCAATCCGCCCGCCTTGGCCTCCCAGAGTGCTAGGATTACAGGCGTGAGCTACCGCACCCGGCCTGGAAGTCGACAAGTTTATAAAAATAATAGCACACGATTATATGCCATTTACTCTGGTCAACTACTGCTCTAATGATTTATGTGTATTATCATACTTAATCCTCCCATGAGGTCCATGAGGGACCACTCTGTGAAATATGTCCTATTAACAGGCCCATTTTACAAGTGAGTAAACTAAAGCACAGACAGATTTAGAAATTTGCCGAGTGTTTATCAATGTTACTCTAAAGTGCCAGGTCTGAGAGAACTAAAGAGGAAAATTTCCAATTAGGAGATCTTACATTCCCCTCTGGAACATTCAATCAAAATAGACTTTTTTGACACCAACTATGTATCAGATACTGTCCTAGGTGCTAGAGATACTGCAGACAAAAATATCTGCTTTTATAAATGTTGATTCTAACAGAGAGAGACAAACTAAACCAGTAACTACAATAGTTAGAAACAGACCCTCAGAGTTTTTCCTCAGTGTATCAATGCCAGTAGTCTGAGCCTATTTCTACTATAGAAGAAATCATGCACAGAAAACCAGAATTAAAAGGACAAATATTAATGCATAAATAACTTCTTATATACAAGTCCGTAGAACAGACCCTACCTCCACCGCAGTGTGACATGATCGCATCACACCTGTGCCACTGGCATGCATCTGCGCAAGGTTGTAGAAAGCCAAGATATGCCCTCCCTGTGAAGCTAGGTTAAAATACTTCAAGGCCTGTTTATAATCTCTCTTGACTCCAATGCCATCTGTTAAAACAAAACAAAACAATCACATAAAATTAAATAAGATTTAGTTAAGCACCAGAGAAGTCTTACATATGAGGAATAAAACCCTAAAGAAAGTCAGAATTCTTGCTGAGTAAATATGTGAATCTGACTAATACAAATTCATATAGTGATACAGATTAATATAATTTACAAAGAAAAACAAGATGTACAAATCGCTGAATTGGGAGAACATTAAAAAGCCAGAATTATATAGCTCCCATTTCTGTATCACAGTGCCATCTAGTGGAAAATACATTAGTTTAGATTTTGGTGTATCCATCATGATGAATTCCAGTGTTACTACTGTGGTCCCCAAGCCCCTGGCCCAGGCTGCAGACTTGGTACTGGTCTGTGGCCAGTGAGGAACCAGGCCACACAGCAGAAGGTGAGCAGGAGGCAAGCCAACCAAGTTTCATCTGTATTTACAGCAGCTCCCCATTGCTAGCATCACTGCACAAGCTCCACTTCCTGTCAGATCAGCAGTGGGATTAGATTCACACAGGAAAGTGAACCCTCTTGTAAACTGCACATGTGAGGGATCTAGGCTGCACACTCCTTATGAGAATCTAATGCCTGATAATCTAGGTGGAGCTGAGGTAGTGATGCTACTGCTCGGGAGCAGCTGCAAAAACAGATTATCATTAGCTGATAGGTTTGACTACACAATAAATGTAATGCACTTGAATCATCCTGACATCATCCGCTCCCACCCTTAGTCCATGGAAAAATTGTCTTCCATGAAACCTGTCCCTGATGCCAAAAAGGTTGGGGACCACTGACTTACTATAGTACATAGAACCAAGCTGTAGTTGTCCATCCACCCAGCCTTGTTCAGCAGCTTTCTGGAAATATTTCAGTGCCAGATCATAATTCTGTAGAAAAAGATGTCACACGATGAGAAAGATCAAAAGGCTGATATCCTCAGAAGTTAGGATACCCACTGATTAAAAGGAATGAACAAAGCACACATAAAATATTCTTGACGAGCCATTAAAAAAGACTATTTCTCATTTTTATAATACACAGATGGTAATATACTTTAAGTCATGGGGGATTTATATTTAAGATTGTGAAGAAAAGGAAATAGTGTTTTTGTGAAGCAATTTGTATGTCACTCTTAGAAAGCACAAACATTGGTAGAACCAGGAATTAAGAAACAATCAATCTTTTCTGCTAACCAATTAATCCTCTTTAGACCTACATTTTTCTAATATTATATGGGGAAAATTATTCTCTCCTTATTTGTTCCTTTCCTGTGTACCTTATCAAACACTTAACAATTATTAGATTTGAAAAGTCATATGTATCCACAGAGAAAAGTTAAAGATTACTACTGAATTTTCATATCCTAAAATGACTAGAAGGAATCAAAATGAGACATTACTGTCTTTTGTGTCACATACTACCTATAGATTAGACTCTTAAACCTAGCTTTTAGTTTCAGGCCCAAATTAAAAGAATACATTGCTTAGAAAAATCACATAAGAGAACAGCAACACAAACCCAGGGACATCCAATATGAGGAGGCAGTGCAAAAGGAGAAGACATAATGGTCAAGGAAACCAAGAGAGCTTGCAGTCTCAGAACCACAGGGAAGAGAGTTCGAGTGAGGCAGAACCCGAAATTGTCAATAGGATTGACATTAGGAGGTTACTGGTGACCTGTACAGGGAGAGCAGTTACATGAGGCAGAAGCCTGACTGCTAAGAACTCAAGAGTGCATGGTAGCAGCTTAGTTTGGCTTTCAGTGAAGAGCTGGAAAGAATACAGGAGTTAGCTAGAAGGGTTAAAGGGCAGAATGGAAAGTATTTTTGATGGCTTGAGTAGGCAAGGGAAGTAGGCAAGGGAAATGTTTAAGTCCTAAGAAGTGGGAACAGTGAGTTAGTAGGGTGAAAAAAACAGATGGAAGAATGAGAAACAGCTCCACAGCTTCAGGAAAGAGCTTTATCCATTTGGGAGAATGCACCAGAAACAGTCATCCTAAGACTACAGTTGAGATGGGGGCTGAGAGGTGTGAGCTGGGCCAAACTCGGAGACAGCAAGAAAAGTTCATCTTTGGTTACAATGGAACAGCTTCACCTGGGCTGAATGGAAGCTACTTAAGGAATACTTCCCTACCAGCTTCCCGCAACAGCTTATTAAAGTCATAATGTTAGATGGAACACTTACAACTTGAACACCTCTTCCATAGAGGTATGCCATTCCAAGCCCACTCTGTCCAACTGGGTTGCCCTGAAAAATCAGAGAAATAAGACAAATGAGTGAAAAAGATTCATTAAAAACAGGCAAGAATAAATGACTACAAAAGAAATCATGTATAAGCACACTTAAAACATGTCTTACTACTTTTCAATCAAAACAAAACTTTCTTCTTTCCATCAAGCTAGACATAATACTGACTTTTAGACATTTGGGGGCTTTCAGTAATTTCCTGAAAAAGAATAAATATTAAATTCACTTAAATTAAATTTTCATGACTTACCTTATGACCATTTGTACCACGAATTTATGATATAAAACATGAAGAATGTATTTCATCAAAATTAAAAGCAGGTCACATTTTTGTTTTCAGTTTTCACTGGTAAACTCTCACCCCAATAAAGAGAGAAGATGTCATGAAACATCTAGTAATAACAGCACAATCATGTAATAATAGCCAATACTGCTATCAGGTGGCAAAGATGTAAAGTAACATAGTTAGCAAAGAGTAAGTGTACATACTGCAAGTATACAAGGTATCAAGGGTTCACATGCAGTTTTCTCTGGGCCAAAGAAAGCCTAAATTATGTATTATGATTATCAAAAGTATCCAATTATGTAAGCTTTTAAACTTCAAGTTGCAATACTAATAGGGTATATTATATAACTCCCAGTTCCATTACTAAAATCAATATTTCCCTGATTAGGAAACTTCTCAATAAAATTTAAACAGAGAGTTAATATTTAACAGTCTGCTCTCTAATAAAAATTGCTTTTTATTGGGAAAGGTTTGTAGTCAATACATTCACATCATTCATACCTACATAAGCACTTTCAATAATTTACGGCATGAGCTGGTTATGATTAATTCTTCAATATAACAAATTTATTAAAATATTAATAATATGGTACACATTTTAATACACTGAGTCATAAAGTCTCACCATGTCAGCAGCTTTCTTAAAGTAGTGAAGAGCTGTCTCATTACTCTGGGGTACAATATCACTTCCCTCCGAATACATCTGGAAAACAGATCCCAATTTCATTAACAGCTGTAACCCTCTCTCTAATTATATTTTCCCCTATCTATTTCATTTTAGTTTTCTTAGATCTCATAAAGTCTTTCCATAAAGTTTAGAATTCCCTACAGGATATTTTAGGGTTAAAAGCAAACCCTTAAAAGTAAACATTTTAATGTTATTATATATTTGATGTCATAAAAAATTTATGACTTATCTGTAAACATGAATATATAAAATCAGCTCGTAGATGAGTCTCAAGAGATTTTTAACCCCAGATGAATCTTTTTCTCTCATTCTATCCCTAGGCAGTCAAATGGTTAATAAGTTGCTTAGGATCAGATCAGTGATTAAAGGAAAAAAGGAAGAGGTATTAGCAGTATCCATTCTCCTTAAACTTCACCAATACTTTCCCCAGGATAAGATAAAGAGTGGGCCATAAGTTCAGAAAAAAAATAACTAAAAGGTTATTTTAAAAGGTTTTAAACACAGATAAGGTCTCACTCTGTTAGTCAGGCTGGGTTGCAGTGACACAATCATAGCTCACTACAGCACTGAACTCCTGGATCAAGTGCTCCTCCCACCCTCAGCCTCCCAAGTAACTGGGACTACAGGCAAGTGCCATCATGACTGGCTAATCTAAAAAAATTTTTTTCATAGAGACAGGGTCTCGCTATGTTGCCCAGCCTGGTCTTGAACTCCTGGCCTCAAGAGATTTCCTGCCTTGGCCTCCCAAAGTGCAGGCATTACAGGTGGCTCATGCCAAAGGAAATAATTCTTTAAGATAGGGATAATTAGTAATTCAGAGCAAGAACAAAAAGGCAAAGAATGAAAAATTCTTAAATGCTTAACAAAAATAGATGGGAGAATACCAATTTCTATGCTCTAATGGTTAGAATGTTTAAATGTAAAGTTTTTGGGCCCCAATTAACTAGTTATGATCATGTGGCAAATACTGATAAGATTTTCCTATTTGTAAAAACCTTTGAAATATATTCCATCTGAACTTCCTTACTTTAAGATTTGGCTATAGATGAAAATATCCATTGATTTATACTATATTATTTTTTGAAGTATTGAAAAAGGAAGTTTTGAGATTCTTCCATGACATATGAAATCCATTCAGTAAGTCTCTGGACTTAAAAGTTTCCTTGCTTGAGAAAAGAACTACATTGAGAGGTGGGTCACGGCTGTCACAAGACAATTAAAAGGTCTACAGATAACTTTTAACAAATTCTAACTACCTCTACTCAGCAGGAAAAGGAAATAGGCAGTCTTAGTAAAAAACTGCACAGATTCAAGAACAAATTCCTCATGATTGCATATATAACACAAAAAGGAGGAGCTGAGACAGTGATTGCTATTTTCAATGGGGAAGTAACAGACAGATGAGCAAATGTTATGTTATGTTTAAGTTGCCTAAGAAAATGCCTTAGAATAGTAAATACCTTAAGACAAGTTAGAATATCCTTGCACTGGAAATTTTATTTCAATTTATTTTTGGTAAACTGTAGATCTTGAACACATATGCTTACTATGCAAACACCTCTTGCTATTTCATAATACATTCACAGGATGTACAGTACCTTTCCCAAGAAGGCCATAGCATGTGAATTGCCAGCATTGGCTGCTAAATTGAAGTAGTCAAATGCTCTCTGTAAGAAAATAATTTATTAAAATTATTAGTTCTTAATAGAATCTTCCCTGGGTTTTTAGCCAAAATTATTATTTCAGGAAAATTAAAAGCATCTTCTTATGCTGAAGTGGCTTTAAAAACAAGAATACCCATTTGCAAATATTTCAAAATAGAAATCAGTACATCTAGAAGTTTTATTTTACCAAATAGCTGTATCAAAGTACCATTTCACATTAAGTCATTTCATAGTTACAGATGCAAAGAAATTTTGTGTTCCCTAAACTTAAGGGTCAACAAGATTTCTGCTATTTACAGGCAAAGCGTGCATCAGGCTGCTTAAAAGACAGCTAACAGCAGCTTGACTTCTTTGGTCTAGCTCTCTACTGCTAACCTGGGAGAAAGGAAAAACTAAGAAATCATTCCAAGGTATGGAGCCTATTTTCAGTTCTCTAAAGGAAAACATTTCTTTTTGTACTATTTAGAGAAAAATCCTTGATTCTACTTAAAAATCACACAACTAAACACAACAGTATCAGTAGAAATTTATTATCACTGCTCTAAACTGCTGTATTGCCATCTTTGTTAAGGACTTTGTACCATTGGTTACTCCTTTCCCTTGCTGATTTAAGCTCTCCCTCTTTCAAAACCTTTCCCCTTCAAACATTGTTTAACCTCCTGTTATTAAAAACCCAAACCAAAATACACAAGTTGCATCTCTCCTATAGACCCCCAATTTCTTTCCAATAATGACTGGTATCTGTTAGCTACTTTTCTCCACAGCCAAGCTTCTCAAATGAACTAGCTACAAGTACTTCAATTCACTCTACGATCTAGTTTTAACTGGCTTGCATAAACACTACTTCAAAATGACACCTCAAGGCCACCAGTGACCTTCGTATTGCCAATAAAAACGTTCTCTCGTCTCACTCCACCTCTCTCTGCAGTATTTGGCACAGCCCATCAGACCTTCCTTCCTGAAAGACTCTTTTAGCTTGGCTCACAAGATGCCATTCTCTCCTGGTTTCCTTTCTAACTCCCTACCTATGTCATCTAAGTCTTTGCTGATTCTTATTCTACCAGCTGCCTTCAAAACATTAAAGTTCTTTAGGGCTTTTAGACTCTATTTAGGAGCCCAGGAATTTTGGACTCCATTTTTACTTTATATTCTCTAAGCAATCTTACCTACTCTCATGGCTTCACATACCATCTAGATGTTGGCAACTCCTAAGTTTGTATTTTCAGCTTCAAAACAGTCTATTCAACTAGTTATATGTTCACTGCCTGAACACACAGAACCTGGAATCTTCTCTCCTTGACCCCAACTTGCCTCTCCTCTAGCCTCTCAGTTTAAGTAAATGGCAATATCAACTAGTGGCTGCTCAAGATACCCACCCCTGCCCCCCACTTTCATATCCAATCTATCACTAAGTCCTGTTACTTTTACCACCAAACACATGTTGAATTCATCTGCTATCTTCCATTACCACAGTTCTAGTCTAAGCCACATTCTTTCTCGTCTGAACTTTTGGAATACTCCCCTCCCTGATCTCCCTGCTTTTATTCTTGGGGTCTTCTAAATCATTCTCTATACTGCAGCCAAACCCATTGTTTTTTAAAATCTGAACATGGTGGTCTTTGCAGCCCCTTGAAGTGTTGCAGGGCTACATTGACATGACCAGGCATTGCTTATGTCAGCACTGTTTTATCTTGCCCTCTGCACTGTGGGCACCCCAGCCATGCTCCTTTCTGTCTCTGAGCCCATGCACATACTGTTCTTTTAGGCCAGGAATGACCTTACCTCTACTGTTAACTGAGATGTCATCTACTTCTCTTTAGAGAAGTCTTCCCTGACAACTGGTACCTCCTACTCATTACCAATTATTGTATCCTTTGTTTCTCCTTTATAACAATAATCAAAATTTATTACATATTTATTGGTGTGATCATTTAAAAACTATCCAATGCCCCTATTAAGCTTGAAGCTCCAAAGGGACAAAAACAAAAAACATTTTGTCCAGGATTGTACCCTGAATGTCTAGCAGTGAATGGCACATGATAGGTTCAGAAATATTTGAATTAATGGGATTATGTATTGGGAATTCCTTTTCCTTTTTCAGTGAAGATGGCAAAATAAATTATCACTGTGTAGTCCCTTTATATACAGGTAGGTAGCACATAGCATCCAGAATATTCTCAAACTAGTTAATATAAAAGGTATGCTGCAAACTCTTAATCAGAATTCTCTCTCACCTGACATTTTTATTAACCAGCTCATCTGATGCTTCACTGGCCTAAAGACATAGATTTTAATGACTTAGAGACAATGAAAGCTGTCAAAAGCTGTTTGAATAATAATAATACCCTGTAGATATTTGGTATAGTTTTAGTGATAAGTGTTATTTTGTTACAATCTTAACCTTAAAGGTGATGGGATGTAGTCTATGCAATAATTTTCATTAGAATACTTAATGGGCTTGGTAAAAAAACAGAGTCTTATTAGGTTGTTGAACATTTATTGAGAACTTACTATGTGCTAGGTACTTCCAGGGGCTGGGAATAAAGTGGCAAACAGAGTAGACATGGACTTTAGGTTCTAGCAGAGAAAACAACTTAATTGTATAATTACTTAGTTTACAGTAGACAATGGCTACAGGAATACAGAGTTTTAGGAATCATAACTGTGGAACATGACCTACTCTTGGAGTGGGGTTCAGGGTCAGGGGAGATATATTATAGGTTGGAGTTGCATTCTGGAGCATGAGTAGAAATTAGCTCCATGAAGAAAGTAGATGGGGTAATATTTACTCTAGATAGAGGGACTAGCATTATGGAAACCTCCCCTGAGACAAGGAGGTTTCTGATATGTTCAAAGACCTGAGCAAAGGTCCATGTGCCTGTGACACAGAGAGCAAGTGGCTGGTGAGGTAAACAGAGACTGGGTACAAGGCTTGAATGTCATGTTACAGGTTCTGGTCTTTAAGCCACTGGAATCCCAGACCACTCAAGAGTTTTAAGCAAAGGAAACATATGATCAGATATATAGTTTACAGAGATAGGATGTTGCTTAGGAAATGTAGGAAGATGATTCACACAGTGGTAGGTGTACTGACAGAAAAAGAAGGGAAGCGATGAGTGATCTTTAGGACAGAAAGCTACAAAACCTGGTGGCTAGATATAGATGGGACATTGCAACAGTTGTATACTTGTAATTTTTCACAAGCATAAAATTTTCCACAGTTCTATAGGTGCATGATTTTTTTTTCCTCTTTCTTTCTTTCCTTTTTCAAAGACAAGGTTTCACTATGTTGCCTGGGCTGGCCTCAAACTCCTGGGTCAAGTGATCCTCTTGCCTCAGCTTCCCAAATAGTTAGTACTACAGGCGTTTGCCAGCTTGACAAGGTGTTTTAAGACATACTTTTATCACATACTTTTAGAACTAATAAAATCTTTCTCAACACTCTGAGGTATATTCACATTTTTTTTTTCTTTTTTTTTTTTTATTTTATTTTAAAGACCACTTCTGCCAGATAGCATATATTCACATTTTTATTCTTCAGCTTCCTTAAGGGTTACTTAGATCTTAAAAGCTCACTTATTAGGGGTGTTTAAATTACACAGGCTTGATATTGGCACTGACTTAGTAAGAAATACATCTGGAGCATCATTTCGGGCTATAACAAGTCCTACGGTCTAGTAAGAGGGTAGTTACCTGATGATTTTGTTCTACTCCACGCCCTCCATGCAGGTGCAGTTGTCCTAGACCAACCTGAAAATTAAGAAAAAATAAGGCAAAAGTAAATGGTAACATCTGGTACATAATTAAAATCAGAGCAATAAGAAATCATTTTGTCAAAAAAAAAGGTTTCTATTCATGACTGAAAAAAACTAAAGATTTAGTTTTAACTCTTGAAAATATTACTCTACTTTAACCTAAAATTTTTAAAAACTAAAAATGTATGCTTTTGATAACAAAGTATCCTGCTGAAATAGAGGTGAAATAAAGGTATTTTCAGATAAACTAAAACTGAATTTTTTCCCAGCGAACTTGCCCTAAAAAGAATATTAAAGGGTGCTATTCAGACAGAAAGAAAATTCTCTGAGAAGCTTGGAGATGCAGTAAGAAATAAAGAGCAATGAAAAGGTACATTAGTGACTAAATCTAAATTAACATGTAGTATATAAAACAATAGTATCTTGTGAGGTTCAAAAATATATAGAATGAAAACACACAGAGTAAGATCTTTGTGTTGTCCTGGAAATAGTAAAAGTGCTCTAAGTGGTAAAAGTGCTAACATGCATCCTTGACTTATAAAAGTCAAGGATGCATGTTGTGATTTCTGGATAACCACTAAAAGAGTAGTATCAGGCTAGCAGAGGGGAAGAGATGTGCTAGCAAAAGCACTCAAACTAAAAGAGGGCAAGAGAAGAGAGAAAAGGAAACATGGAACAGCAAGATAAACAGAAAGCAAGTAAAACAGACAATTTAAACTCAAACATATCATTAATGTTAAAAAAAGGTATTTAATCTAACAAGATAACTTTGTATAATTTTCTTCAGCTAAGATTTGGATCTACCTTTCACTACAATTTTTTTTCTTTTCAATTTAAGATTCCCTTCTGTTAGCGTTAAAACCAATTGTTCTTAATAAGTATCTACTGCTCATCTCTTATATATTCTAAATCAGAAATAACTGCAAGCTTAACAGGAAAAAAAAGATAAATACTAAAGTTCTTTTTATTTTAGTATCATCAAAATATTAAAAATAAGCTAGGAAACACACATATACACAGAGTATTTTGATGGACATCATACAACTTCCATTAAACAAACCTGCTATTCTTGACCTTGAGGAATTTATAAGCTAAGATAAGCAAAATAAACATAAATAGCTCCGAAGAGAATCTGATATTCCAAATATTCCAGAGACTTCTTGTTTAGAGAAAATGACAGTTTTCCTCATTGGTGACTCTAGTAAGAGCTTTCATCATCAGTGTTAAAGCCGCTCTGTTCAAGCAGTGAGTTTCACCTGTGGCACATGGGAGAATCACCTGGCCAGCTTTTAGGAGCTATCAATGCCTACGTGCCATCCCAGATGAACCCAAATGGAATCTCTTGAGAGTATAGGACTCTTGACATTTTAAAAAATGGTCCTCAGGTAATTCTAATATGTAGCTAATAATTGCTCAGAGCAATGAAAACGTTACTTTCAGATACAAGTGTTTGCTCCCTCCCACTTATTACTGTAAAATAAACAACATGGTAAAGATATTCCCTGAGATATTTAAACACATACCTGTGCTTGTACATCACCCTTTTCGGCCAGGAACTGGTAATATTGAATCAAATCTTCTTCTAGCATTCCACTATTCATTCCTGGATTTTCTACTTCATCAGGCAGGCGTATTCTCTGTACTACTGAGCCTCCTGTTAGTGAGATATCACTAGCAACTGAAACAGAGGAAAGCCAGAAGGATTATCCCACAGAGAAAAGTACAATTCCAGCTGCCAAACACTGACAGATACGTTGTTAAAGGAAACTGTTTCTATAGTAGTCTACGTATTACAAAATAGTAATCTATTAATAAATCATACTTAAAAGTAGAACCCAAAGCAAAGTCAAAGAAAAAAGTACTTCTTAATCAACTGGTTTAAAGATGAGTCCACTTAAGAAAGTCAATCACAATGTTTCAAATAGTATGATAAATATAAATGTATTTAAAATTAATTCTGTATTTTCCTTTTTCCTCAAAAAGGTGAAAGGAGAAAAACAGATACCGTGATTGGCAACAAGACGATAATGAGTCAGTGCAGATTCACAACTCTGGAGGACTCCGATGCCAGCCCAGTATCGGTAACCCTGTAAAATAAATTCAGGTGAGGAGACAGGAGTTTCACATGCTACAGTTTCATCTTTTTGGGGAATAAAGCTAACCATACTCAGAAATAAATAATTAAGTTTTTTTTTTTTTTTTTTTTTTTTGAGACAGAGTCTCGATTTGTTGCCCAGGCTAGAGTGAGTGCCGTGGCATCAGCCTAGCTCACAGCAACCTCAAACTCCTGGGCTCAAGGGATCCTCCTGCCTCAGCCTCCTGAGTAGCTGGGACTACAGGCATGCACCACCATGCCCAGCTAATTTTTTCTATATATATATTAGTTGGCCAATTAATTTCTTTCTATTTATAGTAGAGGCGGGGTCTCGCTCTTGCTCAGGCTGGTTTCGAACTCCTGAACTCGAGCAATCCGCCCGCCTCGGCCTCCTAGAGAGCTAGGACTACAGGCGTGAGCCACCGCGCCCGGCCAATAATTAGGTTCTTAGAGCAATCAAAATAGATGCTTGAACTTTATTTATGAAGCATGTGCATTTTACTCATTAGAGAAAATTACTTAGGCACTCTCTCAGAACCAATTTTTATCTAATTTTAGATACAATTTTAACAAAACTTAATCTTCCAACCTAGCAAAGAAGTAACAAACTAGCAAAACAGAGAAAATGAGACTACCAGAAGCAGGCACCATAACACCAGCAATAAATGGCTTCCAAGTAAGAGGGAAGATAGCCAATTATAAAGAGCAGAAAACAGAAAGTAGACCTCTCTGGAGTCATTCTGCACAAATAACTTTATAAACTTCAACAATCCTTCGGGCAATGTTGCATAAATAACATGTATAATATTTAATGTTCTTAATCTGTAGCCACTATTTACAAAGATTGGTAACTATAATTATAAAAACTTTCTATCAAAAATATTTCACATACTTTTGCCATAAAAAATGTTTCATATTCCTTAAAAATTCATCTGAAAGGAAATTTTCAATTACTGTTTGAAAAATGTTATTGTAGAATAAAACTGAAAAATAAAAATAAAATCTATGATAATCCAATCTAAAAAGTGATTGACAGTTTCAATGCAGAGAAAATAAAAGAAAGCCATTTATCAGATCTTTATTTTTACAGGCAATCTGCCAAACTAATCATTTTAAAGAAAAATTATGGACACTACCAATTTTCATTCACATGTAGGTTCAATTTGTTATATCCATTAATAAGAATTTGAAGGATGTTCAACTGAATATTTGGTCTTAATTAATATAAGCAAATTTCAATCATTAAAGCTAGAATAGTTGTGGCCACTGTAAACCACAAATTCTTCTGCTACTTAATATTATTAGTTTTCCACTGTAGTAGTACTTACCAAAACCATGTGGGCTATTAGATTGCCCCCAAGAGCACCAAAAGTGTAATATACAAGGGCCTGTGAAAGAACCAAAGATGCTTAACTGAACATAGGCACATATTTATACAGCTCAAATTATAATACACAATAAAGTTTTAATAGTATTACCTTTGCCTGACTTGAATTAACACCAAGTCCAGAGGCATAAAGAAAGCCAAGAGCCTGAAATAAAATGGTAAAAGTAAGAATTCTTCTTTCAGTGAAAGTTTATCTGAGACAGACACAGTTTTATGCACTCTAAAAGGATGTAAGAGTCTTTAAAAATGCTAAAAGATTTGAATGCAACTATGCACAACTGTGGAATTAAAGAGCCTTAGAAATACATTCAGGTTTTACAAATCACACAATTAAATGTAACTTTACACAAGTAAAAAAGTTCAGCATGAAGATAAACGACAATTTCATAAGTATTAATAAGAAAGTGAACAAGTTAAATATGACTTTTGCTTTATCTTTAAGAACAGTCATTATAAAGATAAACAACCCCCCAGGAGTACATCAACGTATTTCTCTATTTATGCAGAGTGGGATACATTACGAAAAAGGACAAGAGATTACCAAGATAAACTATTGCACATATAAGGCAGCAAAGAGTCAAGTTGAAGGGGTCAAGGGAAAAAGGTCAGTTTGCAATGCCAAAGCACACACAACTTTCTAAAAAAAACACAACAAAGCAAATGATGCATTAGTAAGGTTCTCTGCTTTGCCTTCTGTGTATCATCCCTGACACAAAAGTACAAGTTAAAGGTACAAAGGCAAATATGAGAGACTGCTAGTGCTCCTGAATATCTACATTTCCCACTCTTCTTGTAGTTAGGTAGGATCATATGCCTGCGATGTGGCTGGGAGGGAATAAGCCATTTTTAGGCCTCGCCCATAAAAGCATCCCAGAGAATTCTCTGGCTCTCTCTTCTCCCTTCATGAGGGCTTGGAAGCTCTGTGTTCCAGATGGTGCAGGCACATGATGGAAGCACCCCATGACCCAGAATCACCATTCAGAAAACAGTGATGCAAACAGCAGAGCTGCATCAAACTTGGCATGAGCAAATGACTCTTTGTAGTGCTAGGCCACTGTGATTTGGGGGCTTTGTCTATCGCATCAACTAGAATTAATTTCCACCAAGAGAGTGCTTTGCAATGTAAAGTTCTATGGCATTGTAAGGTTCTAATATTAGAAGGGAATGATGCCGTATAAGTGCAGAATGCCTCTGAAGATAAAGAATATAGGTGTAAATTTTAAATAGACTGATTTATTCAAAGAAGGGAAATAAGCCCTGAAAACAAAGGGGAGCAATTAAGATATAATCTGTTTATAAACAAAAACTGAGAATGTGAAAGAGCTGCAGAGTCATTAGGAATTCAGTTCTACAGAAAACAATGGTTATGATTCCTGTTATTGTTTAAATAGTCCGAAAACAGACTTTCTCTGTGATGAGAAATTTTGTTTATCTTTAAGTAAATCCTGAATAAGCCTGAATTATTGAAGGCATGTTGAATAAATGTGATGGATTCCTAAATCCAGGTGTCAGTCTTAGCATTACCAATGGGGAAACACCCAGATATTACATTATCAACCGATGTGATACAATGTGGAATACACAACATCCCCTATAATGTAGTCTAGCCAAAATATTTCACTTGAGTTCATCAGTCCTTAGCTGTTAACTCTTGTTCACAGAAAATATAGGTGATGGAGAAACAACTGAAGGATATCACAAAGAAGCAAGATATTCTGCAGAAAAATGGGCCCTATCTCTAACAAAGACAAAAACGATAAGGGGCTATGCTAGAAATAACAACCAAATATGACTATAGTCCTGGGCTGGAGACTGGTTTCGACAAAACAGGTATAAAGAAATTTTTTGGTTCAACACCATGTAAACACAGTGTAGATATTATTTGAAATAAAATGTGCTGGAATAGAAAGGGGAAGGTTATCGGAAAAGAGCAAGTTACACAGAACAGTAGACAGCGGCATTTAATTTTAATACAAAATTCATATATATATGCACACATACAAAGAGAAAGGTCTAGAAGGATACGCATGCACTAATACATTATCACTGCTCATACCGGGGTGGGACATACATGATATTTACTTTCTTCGTTTTGTTAGCTTATATTTCTAGTTTCCTAAAATGGATATAATACTACTTCTGTAATAAAATATTTAAAAAAACCATCAAAATTAGCAAGAGCTGGCCGGGCGCGGTGGCTCACGCCTGTAATCCTAGCTCTCTGGGAGGCTGAGGCGGGTGGATTGCTCGAGGTCGGGAGTTCGAAACCAGCCTGAGCAAGAGCGAGACCCCGTCTCTACTATAAATAGAAAGAAACTAATTGGCCAACTAATATATATAAAAAAATTAGCCGGGCATGGTGGCTCATGCCTGTAGTCCCAGCTACTCTGGAGGCTGAGGCAGGAGGATCGCTTGAGCCCAGGAGTTTGAGGTTGCTGTGAGCTAGGCTGACGCCATGGCACTCACTCTAGCCTAGGCAACAAAGCGAGACTCTGTCTCAAAAAAAAAAAAAAATTAGCAAGAGCTATAGCATATGAACTTTGGAAAAATGGTGATGGTGAGTAATTTCAGATAAAAACAATTACTTTCACATTTCATTCTCTATAGATCTAATGTGGAAAAGTACAAATGTTAATTGTGGCAAGATGCAATTGCAAAAATGCCTTCGTGGACCATGAATGTTCTTAGATTAAGGAAAAAGACTATCCAAGAAGATTGGTAAACGGTCTGCCACAAAATTGATATTTAAAGACATTTTGTCCTCCAGTCTTACTTGTTAAAAAAAAGTCATGGCATAGACAGTCAACTGCTGTTAAAATTAACAAGTGCTGTGTGCAGACAGCTTCTCCACTGAGAGTGCACTTACAGTTTGTCCCTTGGGAGAGCCTTCCTCAGTCAGTTTCTCAAACATCTCTTTAGCCGCCTGGATATTCTGTGTCAGGTAATCACCAAACAAAAGAGAGTATGACACTCTCTCCAGAGCCTTGGTATGGTTCATGCCTGCTGCCTTTTGAAGATATCGATATGCTCTTTAAATACAAGCAATTATAAAAATTAGCAAAGTTCTGAAACTGCCTTTCAAGTTTTTTAAGATCTACTAAAATACAGCACAAATAATTTTCTTATGTTATAGAATCCCTCTGCTATTTTATTTCCACTAAGTCATGTTACTTACATATGTAGAAAACATCCTATTTTGTTTTTACATAAGGTACCAGTTCTCCTTGGAATAGTCTAATTACACTAATAGTAATTCTAAAAACTTGTATTAAAAAAGTTAACTAGATTTGCAATAAGAGAATTTAATGTAATGATGTCCAGTAAATAATCCAGTAATAACCACTGCAATTTAATTTTCAAATCTTTGCATAGAGTGTATCAAAAGTCAGCTGAAATTACAAGGACATAAATGTGAGAAGACAATCATTTATTTTATGTTCTTTCCAACTGCAAAATTTCTAAATTCCAGTTGAAAATTACAAAACAAAAAACAAACAACACATATGACAATAATTCCTTTTGTTTGTTTTAATGTGATTTTGAATTCTGAATAGTATATGCATTTTTGGTTCTTGGAAACTATTAGAATTTTAGTCAATTACTTTCATTTTACTTGTTCGTTCTTGTTATCTACATTTATAACCTTTTTATCTTAAGCTAAAATTTAATAAAAGCAATGCCACTAATGTCCATAAATCATATTACATTTTCTTATAATAAACTTGAGAAATCTTCTATGTCTCTGGCAGTACAGTTTAAAAAAGAACTTGGCTATTTGTCTCAGTAATGACCTATCTCAGGGGAAGAATGGACTTAGCAGTGCTACCTACTCTCTTTTTTGGCTTTTCTTATTGCTTCCATTGAGAATTTTCATTCCAGTCTGATACAGCATTTCTGCTTCCTGCATCTGCCGTCTCTTAGAAGCCTCCTCTTCAGCTAAAAACAAATGTCAGATGCATTTAAGTGTATTTTAATTCTACACCAATTATTTATTAAATATCAGTATTTATTCTTTCTTTGGGGCAGTCATACAAACACAGTGAATAATCTTTCACTATTTCCAAATTTGACTCTAAAAACTTTGGGTTTAAGTGTGGCCTTTACCTGACACAAGATTACTTATTTTAAAAAAATATATAAAATTCATTGAAATCACTTTCTTTTAGAGAAAGCAATACCAAGCTGCTCTTAGGGAGCGCTTTTCTGTTAGTTACGGTAACTTTTTCAATATAATTCTATGAAAATTTCAGATTATGTGCCAAAGTCAGCTAAAATAAGGACAGTAGGACATTAGATAATAATAGTCAGAAAAATACTATTGTAGCCAAAACACACTTTTAGCCCTATGGAAATGCTGTAAATCTTTACAAGGAGAAAGTATTTGATTACTTAATACAAATTAGTAAAAAACCTGATTTTTTATTAAATATAGAACCTGATTTAATGTTCAAGTTCTCTAATTTTTTCATACTCACTGATGTAACATTGAAAATCACAGAATTTTTATATATTTCTCAAAAATTATTTTGCTTCTGTAACAGATCATTCTTAATAGCAATCTAGAACTCATCAAAACATCAAAAGATATAAGAATATTTCATCAAAATATTTATAGAAGTGAATTCTTCTTATAATATAAAAAAATCTGATGTATTAAACTGGAGTACCCAGTCATACTGGCTTATATCCAAACATGGATTATATTTGATATAACCTTATAGGAATGCCCAAATATTCTATCAGAGCCATTATTTTGAAAATATTATTTGGTACCAAAGGGAGTATATTCAAGATTCCTGTCGTTCTTTTGTAGTTAGAAAGTTTTTCCTGAAAACATAGCTTGCCCATGGAAGCCAGCACCTTTACACTGACATTTACACTTAAAATGGTTAAATATACTATATTTGTCAAATGTTACCTTAGTACAGTATATTTGACTCAAAGTATTCTAAAATGTATTTTTTTTTTTCCTAATCACTATTAGGCTTCACCTTAATGGTCTGTTTCCTTTATTGCCAAAAATGTTTTATGTTAATTAATTTAGTAGCCTGCCTGAAGGGTTTATAAAACAACCTGTGCGCACCAATGGAAAACCATCTCTAAATAAAACATGAGTGTGATAAGCTTCCTGAGTGATAGCCTGGAAATAAACATATCACGTGCTTCCTGCTCTTAAGTCCACGCTTTAAGGCTATAACCACATCATCAATACAGGCCATTTCTGACATGGCTAGAAAAAGGCCTTTAAAATGTTGCCCCAGACATAAAGCAATGTGGACATGGCTGCTACTGAGCAATACTTACTTTCACAAAAGCCCCACTTCTCATCAGCCTTGTAGTCATAGGTTGTAGCACACCACAGTCTGCCATCTTCCCTCCCATCTGATGTACATTCATCATATTCTTTATCCAGGAAAAGAAAAGGGAAATGGCAGAGCTCCCCATTTGCTGTGCCATCGATGGCAGTCAGAGCTGGAATGACAAGAAATAAAAACCTAAACATGAACACCAGCTCTGGTATCCATGGATTCAATGCTGTCAATTTCAGAATCTGAAGTCAAAGATACATGATGCATGACTTATAATAAGCAACATAAAAGGGCCAGTGCTGACTTTGATTAGGATTAGTGAGCATGGCTACCTGGCTACTCAGCATCTATATCTAGCTTAGACTTTCTGAAGTTCTCAAGACATAACCTCAGGATGTTAAAAGTCTACTGTAGGCCAGGTGCAATGGTTCATGCCTGTAATCCCAGCATTTTGGAAGGCCAAGGTGGGAGGATAACCTGAGCCCAGGAGTTCGAGGTTCTAGTGAGCTATGATTGCACCACTGCATCCAGACTGGGCAACAGAGTGAGTCTCTGTTTCTAAAAAAAAGAAAAAGTCTACTGTAAACTCTTGCCCCTTGCCCAACCAGTGAGCAAAAAATGAGGCAAAATGCAACTGAATCAATTCCACTGCTCAGCACAGCTCTCCTTTTTTTATTTTTTTTGAAAGCCATAAGTCAATTTCCTCAATAAAATAAAGTTATATAGGGAGAACACTCCCCCAGGCAAAGTTAACCGCACACAGAAGGAATAGCATGTGTTAAGAATCAAATGAGCAGCATAGTGGACAACAGAAGAGGCTAATGAAGCATGTGGAAGCCACGCTTGGGAGGTCTTTACAAGTCTTAATAAGGAGTTTGGACTTTTATCCTGAGAACAATGGAAACTCACTGAAGAGTTTTAAGTAGGAGTGACATGCTCATACTTACATTTTATTAAGAGAGTGGAGAATAGAATAGAGGGAAGTAAAGCTGAATGCAAGGTAACCAGTTTAAAGGTTGTGATAGTAGTCTAATGGAGAGGCAATGCTAGCCTGAAGAAGGCAATGGAATAAAAGACATGGATATACTTAAGTGATGCTTAGGAGGTAGATATGGTACTACTTTCTTGATGTGTGGATGAGAGGAGAGATGAGTCAAGGAAGATTCCCAGGTATCAGGTTTGAAGTGTGGATAGATGGTTGCCTTTATTAAGATAGAGAATACGAAAGAAAGAGTAGGTTATTGAGTAGGTACTGCTACATTTAAGGTAGCTATTAAAAAAAAGGTGAAGATATCTTAGACATCATTTTGGTTGTAGCTAAAAAGAAAATTCTCCAGTACACAGATAACACTTGAAGTTAAGGGCATATATTAGAATGCTGTGTGAGAAGTATACGAGAAGACCAAAGGTCCAGGACTGAGCCTAGAGCCACACACAGTAGATATGAGCACATGTCAACTTCCACTGGTTGCTTTTACATGGAGAATTTAATTGGGAGCAGAGTTTAGTGATTAAGAGTTTAGGTTCTAGAGTAAGAACACCTGATGCAAATGTTACTACTTATTAGCTGTGCTCTTTGAGCAAGGTATTTAATCTCTTTTCTCATTTACTAATATAAAATTACTTGGAGACAACTTCCTTATCACCAAATAAGAATTACAGTTCTTACTGCATAGGGTTACTTGCAAAGATTGAGATAAAGCATGTAAAGGACTCATCATGGTACCTATCATTTTAGGTAATAAGAATTCAAGAAAATACATCTGCTATTATTATTACTGGCATTCCTGCTTTGAAGGATAGAAAGTATCCCTTCTTTCTTTCCAATATAAAAAAGGATACATCCTAAGATACTAATTTAAAAAAATATTTTCAGTAAGTTATGAAAGATAAAATTAATTTCAAGTGGTTTACTACCAGGTAAATATCATTCATCATCCTGGTAATCACTGCTCAGAGGCAAATAACTTCTCCTTGGATCTATCCAGGTTTTAAGGAAGTGATCTTTAATGCAATGTATAGGCAAAGTATCCTTGAACACCACCACCAGAGGGATCACTCTGACTACAGAATTTAAAAAGGGCATTCCCTGTACACTGCTACTAGATCCAAATCTGCTTCAGAAAGACAGTGTCTATAGAATTGCAGTTTGTAAACCTGAATTTCAAATTAAATAGCAAATGATGATTTAAAAGAATATTTAATTTTTCTATGATAACAGAAATCTTTGTGTTAAAAACAAATAGCTTATCACAGGAATTCTACTTTTTCAAAACTTAAAAACTTTCTAGTACTTAGAAAGTATATTTCTAAATACATTCTTGTGTATATTTTTCAAATACATGAAAGAATTCTCTTCCATGGGATGAAACTGTACAATAGAAAAGAAACTGAAGAGAACCAAAAGGTTTTGGGCAACAAATGGTTTTAACCTACTGCTGATTCAGCACTAATATAATAAGCAGGAAGAAACTCCAGGATGCACCTGCTTCATCAATTTAGCAAAAACTGAAACTTGTTAAAATAATGTGTTTTTAGTGAGTTACCAGAAACAAAATTTGTATCTCTCAGCTACCTTCTCCAAGAAAAATCACAATATGAAAACTTTTACTACCTTTAAAACTTATTTTAAAATCTTCCAAAAGTTAGGGACTTCTTTATCTCAAGTAGACATTCCTCACAATAGCATTAATTTCAGTTAAATTTTCTTTCCATGGAAAGATTCTGCAATAATTTCAAAGCTATCCTTTTAACCTCTATAAGAACAGTACTAGTTTTAAAAAGAAGGTAATCACTACTGTAGTGTAATGAAGCTGTCTAGTTATATGATTTATTAATAAATTAGTGATAGCCAGTAATCAAATCTGACACTTAACATAAAATGGTAAAAATATGTTGTCAATTCTACAGCTTCATGTAAAAACTCATTTTCTAAATAAGGAATCATATTTGACTCTATAATGACATAATATCATAATCTACTTTGACCTCAAAAGGAAGATATTTAATTTATGGTACATGAGAATTTATTATAATAATAAACAGACTGCTTTATATTTAATCGAGCAGAAATCTGCTTTTGCAAAGTCAATTAAAATCATTCAAGAAAGCTAGAAAAAGTAAAAAAAAAATAAAGCCCCCCAAACTCAAAACCAAAACCCCCCAAAAAACCACCAAAAACCCCAACTGAAAACATTCAGTGCTGGCCAGAGTATGGGTAAACACTTTCATACTGTTGGCAGAAATATAAATTAGTACAACCTCTTAAAGAAGGACATTTAATAATATCTACTAGAATTTAAAAGGTCCATACTTTAGATCCAGTTTTCCCACTTCTAAGATGTTTACTTATAGAAATGCTCCCACAAATATACAAAGAGATTATGTGCAAAAGAATGCTAGTACAGTATTCTAATTTTAAAAACACAAAACTAAAAAGAACTCAAAGGTCTACTGATAAGAGGTTGGTTAAATCAAATATGGTGCAGGCATTAAATTGAAACCTGATATAATAAACAGAAGGAATTAAAGGTCACTACAGAGTAGTGTAGACAGGGAAGAGGATCAAAGGCTGAGTCTGAGGTAAGCTCACGTTTCAAGATCAGGCAGATACAGAGGAACCAGCAGTCAAGTGAAGAAAATATCTTCAGAGAAAAGAACAAATAATGGTGAAGGGGTCATGATGATGAAGACCGAGAGCTGACCAGATATTCAGCAATTAGAATGTGAGTGGTGGAGAAGAGATTTAGTTGTCTGGAGGGGGCTTGAGCATTGCTGGAGTTGGATTAGAGAATGGGAAGAGAGAAAGTGAGATCAGTGATTACAGACAACTCTTTTAAAGAAATATGCTATAAAGGCAAGTAGAGAAGTGGGATGGCAGCTGAAGGGGGACTTGAAGACTGGTTTCTGTTTTTATTTTTTAGATACAGGGTCTCACTCTGCTGCCCAGGCTAGAGTGCAATGGTGTCATCATAGCTCAATGCAACCTCGAACTCCTCGGCTCAGGTGATCTTCCCACCTTGGCCTTCCAAAGTGCCAGGATTACAGGAGTGAGCCACAGTGCTCAGCCTTTGTTTTCAATATATAAGATATTACAGCATATATGAATGTTGAAGGAAAGAATCCAGAAGAGAAAAATGTAAATGTGGCTAGAATGTTGTTATATATATTGAATTAAATGTTTTGAGAATACAAACACATCTTTCCCTCAATTTTAATTGTAAAATCAAAACAAAACCCAAAAAGTTAACTTCTTAATCTATACAGATAAATGCTAAGAATTTACTTTTGTAAATCTCTCATTTTAAGAACTTTTATAAGGCCAGGCGCCGTGGCTCACGCCTGCAATCCTAGCACTCTGGGAGGCCAAAGTGGGTGGATCATTTGAGCTCAGGAGTTCGAGACCAGCCTGAGCAAGAATAAGATTCCATCTCTACTAAAAATAGAAAGAAATTAGCTGGACAACTAAAAATATATAGAAAAAATTAGCCGGGCATGGTGACACATGCCTGTAGTCCCAGTTACTGGGGAGGCTGAGGCAGGAGGATTGCTTGAGCCCCCAGGAGTTTGAGGTTGCTGTGAGCTAGGCTCATGCCATGGCACTCTATCCTGGGCAACAGAGTGAGACTCTGTCTCAAAAAAAGAAAAAGAAAAACAAACTTTTATGGTGTCATTAAAGACTAATATTGTATCTATAAGTTTAGATGGGTGTTCCATTAAATAAGAAAATTAACTATTTAATCATGCTGCTTCTCTAAAGCAATCTTGTACTTCCAAATATGAGTACCAAGTAGCATTTGAATCAAATATATCTGTAGTCCAAAACACTTGAAAAACAATTATTTAATGTTAAGCTACCAACTTCAAGACAACTGTCATAGTGTTCATCAATTTTAATAAACAACAAGATAAAAGCGCAAAAAACCAATCATAACCAAAAAAGACCTCCAAAGTACTAAGAACAAAGCATATTAGTTTAGAGGATTTAAAGGAAACTATACAGTACTCTATTTAAAGTAAAGCATATTAGTTTAGAGGATTTAAAGGAAACTATACAGTACTCTATTTAAAGTAAATGGTATAGGCCATATAAAGGAGTATTTCACTGTTGCTTGGGAATATGCTATAGCAATCTTTTGGGGAAAATACCAATGTTATGTGATT